TCACTTACCTTTTTATCATTACGTCTCCGTTATCTTTTATAATTTTTACTGCATCAATAACTATATAATCACACGTACCTCTAATTTAATAATAAATAATATTTATGATTATTTAAGTTAGTAAAAATAATTTCAAAAAAATCAAAGAAGACATATATAATTTCAAAATTTTTATGACAAACAATTAATGAAAATTTCAATTTGAATTGATTACAAATACGATAGTATTCAGTATGTATTATCGCTGAATTAATATTTGTTGCAAATATTAAAAGAATCTTTTAGCACACAAATAAAATGTATTACAAAATACTTCAAAATCACATAAATTTTTGATAAAAATTCAATTTATATTCTTTCAATAAGAATTTATTACAAAAACCTTTTTAAATATATCATAAAATTGCTATGAAAGAATTAGTATTTGATTATATGAATAACTTGAAATCACATGGAATGAAAAAATTGAAATTATAAAAGAAATGAATAACAGAAATTGTAATTCGGACCGAAGAGTAAACAAAAGCATCAAATATTCTAGCAATGTTTGCAAACAGAAATGGTATTTCACTGTGTTTAGAGATTAAATTTCAAATTAATAATACTTGAAGAAACTTAAATTAAATACTAGCTGAATGGCATACTTATGCAAACCACGCAAAGATTATGCAAATTCAGACTGGAATTGGTAGATTGAGGGAATAAAGTAGCAGAATGAAAAGAATTGAGTTAAAGGATAGATTCGAGCAAAAAGTCTGATTCTTTCGTAGCAAATTACTTCCTACTAGTCTGGATGAAAATAATAATTGAATATTCTTTGTTAGGTAAGTAAGAATAGTTCACTCAAGCTTACTCTAGAAAGTGCCATCAACTTGAGCTTAACTAAGTAAGAAATATTCACAATTACGTGAATAGGTTCCAATTTGCGTGAAAAATGCTCTCTACAATTACCTTTTTTTTAAACGTAATATATAATAATTCAAAAATATTCAGACAAAATTTTAAAATTTTCTGCGTAATTTATGAATGAATAAAGAAACAACGCAAATTAGAAGAAAAAATTGATGCATTTAATTGTGAACACAATATTTAATGATTGATTTGTATTTTACAAAAAATTCAAATTCAATACAACGCTAAATAATAGTCGTAATTGGTTTTTGTCGTAATTTGGCGTAAACAAATAACAAAGTGATTTTTTCTTTCTTTTTTTTTGAATGAATGAATGAATAATTGAATATATGTAGAAAGTAATTAAATTGAATTTATACAAATTTACAATTCCGTTAAAATGACAAATTTTTATTACTTCGATGTAAAAAAATGTTACGTAAATGTCGTGTAGAAAAAAATGTTTACGATATTACGTAACGTAAATGTTAAGTTAAAATTAAGTCACGTAGAAATAATTGTCGATGAAAAAGTCAAACAATTAAAGTTTTTATAAATGATAGAAATTTCGTTTTGTCTTTTTGCTATGTCTTGAGAAGAAATTGAATCAGTAGCAATGATGAGATGAAATGAAATCGGATAAGAGAGGATCAGCAAAGCTCAATTCATCTGAACATATGCAAGACTTGAGAAAATTTTAGCATATACATCAATCGTATGCAAATTAGCTCAGTTATATTAATACTTCACTTCGTTTTATTAATGATAATTAAAAATTTTACACTAGAAAATTTGTTCAAGTAAGTCTGGGTAAGTTAAACATATTTTACGAATTCTATAAGAGTCACGTAAATCACGTAACCTTCACATGCAGTAAAAAGCAAAAGCTAAAAATGTAGGTAATGCAGCAGAGTAAAAAAGACAGACTTTAAAATAGCTGAAGAGATGGAAAGAGAAAAAAAGTAGAATGAGAGAAGATTGGGAAAACGAAAAAGAAAAACAGACTAATAAGTAGATTTACTCTCTCATTTTTTGTCTAACTTTCTAGTTCTCCTCTTTTTATCATCAATACTTTTATCTATCTAATTTTTTCTTTTTCTCTGCATGGCATTAACATTTGGAGAATGCAACAAAAAGCTGAATGAATAGTTGATTCATTGATGATGAGCAAGTATTTAGTTACATACTTGAAGTGCTTTGTTAGAACACGTTTTTACGTGTTATTGAAATATGAAAAGACTATTTAAAATATTTTATATGTGTGTGTTGGATGAAAAATCCAGTAATTTGTGTCTAAAGGATTAAATTCATGATTTGTTCCGAATCAGTCATGATCTGTTTGAAAATGTCATGATTATAATTCAGAAAGGTCAGATCATAAATATGGTACATATTTGTTGATACAGTAGTTGCGATTCGTTCATTTGTTTGAAGAACAAATTATGATTTGCTTAATTTGTATCCATCTGTATGCTAACAGTTATGATTTGCATGGAATCTCCCTTCAACTTCTCAACAGTAACAAATCATTTTTAGTTTACTGGAAACGAAGACATTTTTAAAGTAACCGTATGCTTCAGGAAAATATTTTTTGGTGATTTTACTCCACGCTAATAAGGGATTTCTAAGGAATAGCGCCGTATGCAAGGTTTTTGCATATTATCATTTGAGACAATATGAATATTGTATTGTATTTAATGACTCAACTATCCATAAGACACGTGAGTGAATCATTCAATATTCACTCGTACGTATATTAGTTAATTCCTATTCTTTGATCAATTACGTTTCGAAGATATTTATAGCAGGACGGAGTATGCTACTTTTATAAGTTTCTGCTGCGGATGTTGATAAGGGAATAGACAGCTGGTAAGTATTAGATAGATTAATTTTCTCTTTGTAAAAAAACACATTAGGTATATGCAGTACCTGCGAGAGGAGTTGATAAATAAAAAGATCATAGGGTCATAGGTTGAAGGGCAGAAAACTATGATTTGAACAGAAAGGCTTCTATTTACTACTCCAATATTTGCGTAGTTACTCACTTTTTGACTGGAATAATTCCCAAGAAAGAATATGCTGTGCACTATTAATTAGATCATTCACAAGCATTACTTTAAATGCAGTTATACAAAGGTCATTCGTATGACCTTTGTATAACTGCATTTAAATAAATTTTAAATTTTCACTTTGTATAACTGCATTTAAATTTTTCACTGATCATATTTGATCAGTGAAAAATTTACACGATATCTTGTTAATTGTCAATTAACTCAACTCAGGTCCAGAAATCATTAGGTAAAGTAATTTCTTTATTACTAAAAAAACATAGCTTTCTTAAATTGGTGTCAAAATAACTTTTTTTGATTGGTCATTGGTCAAATTTTAATTAATTCATATTTCTGCAGTGGTCAAGAAAGTTCATTAAAAAGTTTATGTTTGCTTTCAAGCATTTTACATGAGTTTTTCCAAAAATTTCTGGCTCGTAAAGGTGATTGTTTCTATCTATATTATCATGTTTTTTTTTGGGTCGTAAACTTTTTTTATCAGTTTTGACGTTATTCGCTTACTATTAAATACAGTCGTAATTTCCCTGCCATATTATTTCATATTTTGCCTTCTAAATGTTTTCTACCAATCTTAAAAACTCTATCAACTTATACTTTACTCTAATCATGAATATTTCAGTGCCATAACGACACCAGTGAATTTTTTGATCATAGACAAAGCTATGCATATTGATACAGTTCTCACAAATGCTTACTGTATGGAATGTAGTGCTACCGTTTTTAGATTTTAGTTGTTGGCTAGATATAAGTATACCTTTCGCATTATCTTCACTTAGTGATACTATTGAGGTTTTTTTTTGAATGTTTAATTGTGCTTAAGGATTTACGTCAGAAAATAGATATAGTAAATATATGATCAATAGTGATTAGCAACCGTAAAATTTGAATCAATTCAGCCGGTAAAATTATTATTAAATAATTTCCAATTACTATCAGTCAAATTTTTCTATTTGTAATAAAATATGCACCCAAATCATTACTTATACAAATTATCAGCTTTACTGTAATCAATAACATGCTGCTCAATGTTCCTGTGTATTCTGAACTTTACTGAATCAGCAACATTAGCCTTCAGATGCTGCGCAATGTTCCTGTGCATTCTGAACTTTACTTCAAACAATACATTTTCAGTTCATTGCAGTTGATAGTTATCAGATAGCTAAATTAGTACATTAAGTATTGCAGGAACTAAAAGATAATGCATTCTTCTTCATATATTTAATTTAATTGCATGATACATATGAGTAGTATTGTGCCAGTTTTCTTGAATTGCAGTACTTATTTAACGAAGCCGCGTTAAATTTGTAACAAGTTATTTTGTAACTGTTATGTTGTCAGTTTCTTATATGGCACATTCTGCAAAGAGTGATTTGAATTTTTTTGCTCGTTCGTATCGATTATTTTCTTTTTGTTATTACCGCTTCTTTTATTTTTCGCTCTTACTTACTGTATTTATTCGATTCGTATTTTGGGTCAATAATTGGTAATTACTTCGTGAACTCTGACCATTCAAAACTTGTAGTGTACATGAGCTAATTTATATTCATTTTGCATGCATGAAAGCGATTACTGTACAAGCATTGTCCTGCTGTATAATTTGCTAATCACCTTTCAGTAATGATAAGTAACTATCGTAATTATCTTATCTTTTGTGATGAATTTTATGCTATAATAGGGCAGTGTTCATATAACAATCTGGTAATAATTATATAATTAACAGAAGCTTTTGATAGTATAACTGTGATGAGTAGTATCTTCATTAGAGCAGTTTATGCAAAAATTAAGTAATTACGTGGTATATATTTATATCACGTAGCGTAGAAACAATTTAGCGCATGTTCATGATTGATACACTATCTTATTTTGCGAAAATTGCTTGTAGTATTTCTGATGAATGATATCTGAAAGCAATCTATAAACAAATTAATAATGTGACGTGCAGTTGTTACATAATTTAGCGTAATTACAGAAAGCTTATGCATGCGTTATGATAGAATGAATAGATTACAGAATTTGCAGTGTGTGATTGAAGTGTAAAATATGTCAGCAAAAGCTGTTAGTGAATATACTGGTAAAGAATTACTTTACCGACATCTGAGTGCTCTTGATTTCGTCGTAAAACCATCGATAGTAAAACTCACTTCAAATGATTCCTTCGATGCTGTTGCCAACAAAATTGATTGGCTTAACAATCAAAAAGTAACATTTTAAAAGATTTAGTACTTATTTTTTAGTTGAAATGGCGTTAGCTCTATTGCTTCTTTTCATTTCTTAATATAAAATATTTGGAAATATTTAGTATTATGAGTTGTGTATAGTTTAATTGTTTATTTTGAGTAAGCACTTATTTTAAAAGCGGCCTGAAGGCTAAAAAATTTTTTTCACATTTTAACTTCATTAAGAACAGATTAATGTCCAAAATGATTTGGACATTTTTAGAGATTAAACTTTAGTCATTCTTGATTTTATCAAATATTTTGAAAATTGAGGTATTCAAAAAATTTCTTATTAATATTATTAACTGTTGAACTTAAAATAGTGAGGAATAATGACTACTAGGGAAAATATTTGGTTCAAATTAGCAGGTACTGGCAAATTCATAAAATAATTGAGCAAAAAAAAAATATTTAAACACATTGCAGAAAGGAGTGATTAAGCCAGATCAGCTTATTAAGCGTCGCGGTAAATTAGGCTTAATAAAATGTGGCAACATATCAGATCTGCGTGATTGGTTCCACGAATTTAAAGGGAAAAGTATAAAAGTTAGTTGTTTTATCGGTTTTTATCATATGTTTCTGACCAAGAAATGTAAGAAAGTGTTTTCAGGTTGGCAAAGTCACTGGAAATTTATATAATTTTATTATGGAACCGTTCTGTGTTCATATGGATGATGATGAAATGTACATTGCTATTTACAGCAAGCGTGACTACGATATCATTCTTTTCTATGAACATGGTGGTATCGATGTGGGAGATATTGACGTTCAGGTTTGTTTTTCAGCAGTTCAAGAAATAGTGATATTTCTGTAATTTAAAAGTAATTCTTTAAAAGGAAAAATTAATAATAATTATTTAAGGCTCGAAAGCTGTATATTCCAGTGAGCGTTGATGATCAAAATAATTTCATCTCTGACAGTGATATGGACTCTTTGATCGGCGTTATGAATAGCGAAAAGCTATCGTAAGTAGATTTAAATATAAAGATTCACTAAGACGAAGATTTCTTCAGTTTATTATTTCTGTAATATTTTATTTAAATCTATAGTTAATCAATGCATAATACATTTTCAGAATCCTGAAAATATTCATCAAGGCTCTTTACCATATATACCGAGAAAATCACTTCACGTATCTAGAGATAAATCCGTTAGGTGTGATATTCTAAAACATTTGCATTGGAATCTTCATTTTATTAATGAATTTTGATACTTATTTAAAGAGGAATTCATCGTAGGGCGTACAAACTCCAGTATCTTTTGCTCATTGAGTTTCGTTTTTCAGTTATGGTGAACAGCAAAGTTTACATATTAGATTTAGCAGCCAAACTTGATGAAACGGCTCTTTTCCTTTGTTCGGAAAACTGGAGAACAAGAAATGGAGAATCAATTGATTTCCCTGCTCCATTTGGAAGAGATAAAACTGCTGAGGTTTTTGCAAATTATTCTCCGTTTTTATCACTTTGATTGCGCCACATTTATCGCAATTAAATTTTATTGCATTCACAATGATCCAGCATTTTTATTTTTGCATGTAATAATGTAATTATTAATTACCAGAAAATTACAGTTCAAATTTAACGAGGCGAATTCATTTTTATTAGGACTTTAAAACAACTTTATTGGGAGCTGTATTAAAATTACGGTTCAACAATCTTGATTCAGTTAGCTCTCAAAATGCTCTGTTTTGAAAGCTTCTACCTGCATTTCCATCACTTTATTTTCAGGCGTGTAAGGATACTCCTAGTTAGTATTATATTACCCGAAATTTGACTCATATGTTTAGGAAATCTATGTCAGCGATCTTGATTCAAAAACAGGTGCTTCATTGAAATTAACAATTATAAATCGTCGAGGCCGTGTTTGGACTATGGTCGCGGGTGGTGGCGCATCTGTTGTGTATACGTACGTTTTAAAATTTGTTAATCAATTCAAATTCAAAAATATGCTGTTTCTGACTTTCTCCTGGTAAAAAAAAATAATGTTTTTGCGCCTTCTAGGGATACAATATGCGATTTGGGAGCAATGTCGGAATTAGCGAATTATGGTGAATATTCGGGTGATCCATCGGAAGTGATGACATATGAATATGCGAAAACATTATTTAGCGTGATGACAGAAGGTATACCTCATCCTGATGGCAAAGTCTTAATTATAGGTGGTTCAATTGCCAACTTTACCAATGTTGCGAATACATTCAAAGTAAGTTGAAAGTTTTCTGATGAGGTGAATGCTAATAACTATGATAAGACCTGTATATTAAAGGGCATTGTAAGAGCTTTCGAAACATACCAGGAACGTCTTCGAGAACACAAAGTTACTATTTATGTGCGACGAGGAGGACCAAATTATCAAGAAGGATTACGAAAAATGAAAGAAAGTGGTCTGTTTCTTTGTTTCTATTGTAGCTTTATTCTACTCATTATGCATTCTCATCTTATTTTCATGTGTTACTAAAGGAAAAAAGTTATATATAATCTTGTAGGTTCACGTCTGAAGTTACCAATATATGTGTATGGACCAGAAACCCATATGACAAGTATCGTAGCAGCAGCACTTGGATTAAGACCTGCTCCAAATAAACCGTTGGCTCCACAAACTACCGCTCAATTCCTTCTTCAGCCAGAAACAAATGTAAATACAACATTTTAAAAGCCCCTAAAAGTTGTTCCTTGTTTCTCACGCGGAAAAAATTTTTTAGACTGGAGGGACCGTGCCATCCGAACCTTTATCAAACAAAACAACATCACCACCAAGACGGTCAAAAAATTTAGCAGCAGAAGATGGTGATCGACCGGAAGTCAGTGGTGTTGATGATCCAGGAGTGGAGACATTATTTGAGAATTATACAAAAGCCATTGTTTGGGGACAGCAAATAAAAGCTATTCAGGCAAGCATTAGTTTTTTTACTGTGTGCCAAAATTTTTTTCTGGAGCTTTCAGCTTAAAATTTTAGGGTATGCTTGACTTTGATTTTGTATGTGGTCGGTCAAATCCGTCTGTTGTTGCATCAACTTATCCATTCACAGGAGACCACAAGCAGAAGTATTATTTTGGACAAAAGGTACATAACCATTATTTGATGTTTTTAAATATAATTAATTAGTGAAATTAGTGCGCATTTATGAATACCACTTCGAAATTTCGTTATAAGTAGTGACGGACATCTTATTGTTGATTCCATTTTGCAGGAAATTTTGGTGCCAGCGTATAAATCGATGAAGGATGCTTTTGATAATCACAGTGATGCTTCTGTTCTTATTAGCTTTGCTTCTTTACGATCTGTTTATGAAACAGTTCGTGAAGCATTAGAATATCGTCAAATTCGTGTAATTGCAATAATTGCGGAAGGTGTACCTGAGAACCAAACTCGACAATTAATTAAAGTAAGCAACAAAAGGTATGATGATCAAGCAGAGTCATTTCAAATAATTCTGACTTTTGTCTATTTCAGATAGCAAACAAAAAGAATGTAGTTTTAATTGGACCGGCAACAGTGGGTGGAATTAAACCTGGTTGTTTCAAAATTGGTAATACGGGTGGTATGATGGATAATATGTTGTCTTTGAAGTTATATAGACCAGGAAGGTAAATGCTTCAATTTTCGTGTCAGCTGAAAATTCAGTCATGAATTCAAAATAGTTACTTGCAGTGTTGCATACGTATCACGATCTGGTGGCATGTCAAATGAACTAAATAACATCATTTCACAAAACGCAGATGGAGTTTATGAAGGGATTGCTATAGGTGGTGACAGATATCCAGGTAGCACATTCGTGGATCACCTTCTTCGGTACGAAAAGGAAGAGAGGTTGTAACTAGCAAGGATTAATTAATATAATCGTTTTCTAAATTACTATCATTATTTTTATGTTTAAATAAAATTTTGAGGGTTATAATATTTATTTTCCTTTGTAGAGTGAAAATGATGGTTATGCTTGGAGAATTAGGCGGAGATGAAGAGTACAAAGTTGTTGAAGCGATAAAGGAAAAAAAATTAACAAAACCTTTAATCGCTTGGTGTATTGGAACTTGTGCAGATTATATCTCATCTGAGGTGAATTCGAGTAATGAATTAATGAACTGTCATTCTCGAATGATTATAACGAAACAGAACTGTTTAAAATCAGCTGCTTGTATTTTATTTCTCGTTCCGATTAAATATGATAGTAGTATTTAGATGAATCTACTACAGACACTTCCTTTTTCATCTCTCGTGATGGTTCTTTGCTTTTCCTATACTTAATTCAGAAACATCATATATTTAGATCCAGTTTGGCCATGCTGGTGCGTCAGCTAACGTGAAAACAGAAACTGCTACAGCAAAAAATCTAGCTCTGAAGGAAGCTGGTGCTCATGTACCCCACTCTTTTGATGATCTCGGTGAAGAAATTTCTAAGGTCTGTTGCGAAGGGTTTTACCGTTTCTTAATTTAATTTAATTTAATTGAACGTTTCTTCTGTTTTGCTTATTATTATATTGCAGATTTACAAAGATCTTCTAAAGAAAGGGATAATTGAGGCAAAAGAAGAACTTCCCCCTCCCGCTGTACCAATGGATTATGCTTGGGCAAGGGTAAGCATAGCTTTTTAAAGTTAGCTTTCGCAGTTTTTTTAAAATTTATAATGAAACATTCTATAGGAGTTAGGTTTGATTCGTAAACCTGCATCATTCATGACTTCAATATGTGATGAGCGCGGTGAGGAGCTTCTTTATGCAGGAGTTCCTATAACGCGTGTTCTTGAGCAAAATATTGGTATTGGAGGCGTACTTAGTTTACTTTGGTTCCAGGTACTGTCTCTTTTATAAGATTTATTTCTGTGAAATTCATTAACCTTTCGTTGTACCAGTCGAAAATATTCTTAGCTGCTATAGCGTTTGTTTCGTTACATATTCACAAGTTATCTTCTTATTCTCACTCATAAATGTTAGCAAAAAAATATGTTACAGAAGCGTTTACCAGATTATGCGAATAAGTTTATTGAAATTTGTCTGATGTTAACGGCAGATCATGGACCAGCAGTAAGTGGTGCGCACAACACAATCGTATGTGCTCGGGCTGGAAAAGATCTAATATCATCCTTAGTTTCTGGCTTAGTAACAATTGTATGATTTTTACAGTTTCAAGTATAAAGCAACTTATTAACTTTACATTTTAGGCTTGTGTAATAATTAATGAGATGTGTACTATTTTTCAAAGAGCATCCTAAGTAATAAAGCAAATGTCAGTTTGCGACAAGAATCACTTGGCAGTGGCTTTTGTAAACTTCAGTCTGAAGAAGAGATTTGAGTACGTTGTCACAGGGTGATCGGTTTGGGGGTGCATTGGATGGCTCTGCTCGGCAGTTTAGTGAAGCATTTGATAAAGGATTGAGTCCTATGCAATTCGTCAATGAACAGCGACGTATCGGCCAGCATATAATGGGGATTGGACATCGTGTAAAATCGGTTAGTTTTCTTTAAATTTTCTATTTTTAGTGGAATCATTTATGGAAATCCTATACAATTGGTCGATAAACTGAAATTTACGAAAACGGATGTGTTTTCCACAGATTTGTTTTTTCAGACAAGTAATCCAGATAAACGAGTGGAGATTTTGAAGAATTTTGCATTAGATCGAGAAAAATTTAAGCAAGAAACCCCATTATTAGAATATGCCTTAAAAGTGGAAAAAATTACGACAGCAAAAGTATGGTAATTTTAAAAATAGCACAGTACATATTAGTTTTTACTTGATGAAATGTTTTTGCTAGTTACTTCATAAAGCAGTTAGTTTAATATTGATCATTTCAGAAAGCAAATTTAATATTGAATGTCGATGGAGCAATTGGTATCATTTTTGTGGATATTCTTCGCCATTCTGGTATGTTTACTGCTGCTGAAGCACAAGAAACGATCCAGATTGGTGCTTTAAATGGACTTTTTGTTTTGGGACGGAGTATCGGATTCATTGGTATGTTTTGTTACGTCATGCTTAAGATAATAAAGTTAGGGTTTTATAAGAGATCGAAAATCTTAAAAATCGCTTTTTCTTCTTGGTAAAATTTGAGCCACGTTTCGATTAACTAGTAGCGTTTCTGTAATTTAAGGACACTATTTGGATCAGAAAAGACTTAAACAAGGTTTATATCGGCACCCATGGGATGACATTACTTACGTATTGCCCGAAGGTGAATTCAGTACTAACTCTAGTGAAAACGAGTGATTTTCCGGTAATTATCCACGACAAACTGTTGTAATTTTTTTGAGTTTAATTGTCTTTACTCCTCGTTCCAACTACATGTTTTTATTCGTTGTTTTGATGGTGCAGAAATTTCGTTGTGTGGGGAGATACTATTCCAATATTTTAGACTATGATCTTGAATTTTTCTCTTATTAGACTGCATTTCGATTGCCACTGCAGAGATCGATTATAGTTTAACGTCACTAGATATTTTTGTTCCTCTATGTATTTATCAGCAGATATTAACAAATTTGGATATTTTTATTATGTACCATGCTTTTCTTTCCTATTTTTGGAATCATTTTGAAGTTTATTGTGTCGTGCATTTCCTGGAATATACGTGTTTGATTTCACTGTTTTGCATCTTAATTGAAGTGTGAAGACATCCTGTAGAAATGATATTCAGTGAATAGTTAATCGTGAATAAAAGTTTCAAATTATGGTGTTGACTGCATTTTTACATGATAGCATTTTATAGTGAGATATTAGCAATATGCTTTCAGACTATCCGTGTTACTGTTGTTCATAGTAGTGGTATTAGTCTAGAAAAGAAAAATCTGAAATGGCATGGCAGTTTTATTCTGTAAGGAAAAATAACGAAGCAGCGATGTTGGAAGTATTAAAAAAGCTATGGCAGTCTTCATTTCAGCACTGATAATATACGCATAGTGTGTTGATTGCAATTTTTTTTTCGATTTTACAGTTGGGTATTAGCAGATAGGTCTCTACAGTATGCTAACAACTGTTTTCAAAGAATAAGATTGTGATGAGAATGTTTGTGATCACTACAAGTATTCATATGGGAATTAATCAGTTATCAACTTCGTCGCAATATTATTACTTATGGTATATGGTATTTCTATATCGCATACATCAAATAAATAATCACTTTTTAGAATATTTGGCTTTTTACAATTCTTAAAGTTTTTCTTCTTGGAAAATAAATCTGCTCTGCTATTTTGGTTGAAGTTCGAAAAAACTCGTCAAATGTGTTACTTTTGACCAAAAAAATGAGCAAACATTTTGTGTGCTTCTCATTTCTGTTTTTGGCTTGAAATTGGATAAAGTTTGTTGTTCTATTCAAGCGTTTGCTGAAGAAATGTATCACAGAACAACGTAATTTGTTTTCTTGCTTATGTTATCCATAAACTACTTGTTTTTTGTCTATAATATAGAATTTTGGCTGCATAAAGTTACGTAAATCTCACGTAAATGTTCACAGGTATAATAATAAAATGTAATTTTGTAATTGCACAAATAATATTTTGTAAAAATAAAAAGATAAATTAATAGTAGCAAAATATTTCAATAAGAAATAAAATTTTATGTCAAAAAAATTTACATTTTCTAAATATAGTATAGAATATACATGCTTAATTAATATTTGAGAAATATTATTATATGCAAAATATTCAAGTTTATTTACTTATTAATGCAAACATTTTCATAACTATTTGCTATATTTATTATATTCATTAGAAATCGGTAATGTAAGGACTTTAAACAGAAGAATAATCAGATATCTTGTAGCAAAGTTGATCTCAAAAAAAATTATTATTGCAATTTGGTATTTTTGTTAGTGAGAGAAATCACCTGTAATTTAGCTATGACTCTTTCGAATAATTTTAGAATGAAGTTAGGTTTTACTATAGTTGTAATTGATATGATCATTATCACTTTGTATCACTATAAACTGCAATATCATTATTATCGATTTTATTATCATGCACGATAAATTGGTATTATTGGTATTAGTTAGTCACTTCGAAAGGTAATACAATTATGATTATTG